AGAAATGTCACAGTGAGATGTCACTGTGAAGACAGTTCAACACAAACACCACAATGTCAGAGGGGGAGAGTGCCCATTTGTCAGTGAATCCCCATAATAATCCAACTACTGTGGCTTCCCGCACGCCAAGCAGTAGAAACACACAGGGTTTGTCTTACGCAGCTTAGTCTCGCTGAGAAGACCAACGACTAGAGGCCCCGCACATCTGTGGAGCCAGGCTCTCTCACCAGGCAGTCTTAGAGCCACCAGGATAAAGAGGTTGCCTGACTTGACTCTCAGCCCATGACAGTGTCACAAAGGCAAGTCCCTCCTCAGAATGTATACAAAGCATGAATGCCTGCAGCATGGTGTGACTCAAGACGCAACCGGCATCTTTATTTTCTATGTGCAACACACATTTCCTTATGCATCAGAAAATCCTCTAAACCTAAATCCTGAACTACAGGTTCTAAAAGTGCTGCCCTGTTGGCAGCCAGGCTGCACCTCTCCCTCAGTGTTGGTTTTCCCCCACATGTGTTCTCCCGTCTGGCCCTAACCACAGGTGAAGCCATGAGGACTGCAGGGAAAGGACTGACGCCCGGAGAAACACCGAGCCTGGCAGCTCTAAGAATCAAGCCAGGAAAGCTGCCAAGGGGCAACATTACCCTCAGGCTGGATACTGGACATACAATCATGATCTGGTCAGGCCACGTGTCTTTTTAAAAGATTTTATTGAAGGTCCTTACAGAGCAACATCCAGACTCGATGCAGGCTGCCATCGTGCCCCTGAAACCAAACAAAGTAAACAGTGAGAACTGAAAGCTAGCCTTACTGCTGGGTCCTTTCATTTCCCAAAATGGGCCTACACTCCCCTTTAGGGTTTGTTTTTTTAAATGATTTATTTTTATTTGTTTATGCACACAAGAACTGGGGTCCAGGCTAGAGGTGCGGGAGGGAAGAGGGGGAGGAGACGATTCACCAGACAGAGTGGGGAGCAGAGCAGACAGATGCACTGAAATACACTGCTGAGGGGAGCAAGAGAGACGGGAGAGGTCTACTTTGCCATGTGGGTAGCTCCCTGGCCAGGGATTGAACTCATGCCACAGTGGCTGGCTATAGCTTAAGAGCGTTGAGACTTTTCCCTGTGCCACCAGGGAGGCCCTATTTAGGGCTTGTTATCAAGATTAACAAATACACACACACAGAACCGAGTACAGGAGAGGGTTGATGTTACTGTTTTAAGGAGACTCAAGGACTGGCAACTAATTATAAGAGCCCTTGAAAATTTGTGAGCAGGTAAGAGAGGACAATAAAGGAACTCTCCTATTTCAAACACAATAGTAAACGTAGGAATTTGGGCTAAATGGGCTCCTATGTTCTCCCATGTAAAGCAAGTATAATCCAAGTTTTATTCACCAAGTGGCTACCACAGTGTGGGATACAAAGTATTAATGGGGAGACAAAGGAACCCCCAACAACCCCCTTCAGAAATACCTGTTATGCTGTGGGCACCGGCTGGGGCATGGCTGGCGGCTCTGGCTTCCCACCCTTCTGTTCCGAGATGGGGGTGGTGGGCAGTATCTCATCTTTAGGCTCCACGATGCTCACGTGGTCAGGGAGGGGCTTCTTAGGGCCAATCTTACCACTTGGGTCCCAAGGCAGCATGATCTTTACTTTGATGCCCAGCACACCTAGGAGATGCCACCATTAGGAGAGGTAGCTGTGGTTTCACATGCCCCCACGACGCAACAGGGCAGTAGGTTACTCAAACACCCTTGTTTCTGGCCCCTTCTCAGACAAATGCCTCTAATCAATCAATAAACAGGACACTTTTGCAAAAGGAAGTCACGCACAGCACCACAGAACGTGGCACTGACAAGACCCAAGTGCACGATGTGACCTTTCTGACTCGTCATCGTATCATCACCGAAGGGTACGCAGGTGGCTGAGACAAGGACAGCTCAATTCTGATGAAGCTCATCACCAAACCCAAGGGGTACACACAGGCTCCACTACATCCGAGGCAAATTCCACACACTGAGGTGTGCGTGGGATGGCATTCCTGTCTGTTAAGACCCCTGGCCCCAAGCTTGCCCTGCTGCTCACCCTGTCTCAGTAGCACGTGGCGCACGGCAGTGTCGACGTAGTAGTTAACAGGGTCCCCGCTGTGGATCATCAGACCATCCACAAACTTCATGGATTTAGCCCTCTGTCCTCGGAGTTTCCCGGATACCACGACCTCACAGCCTTTGGCCCCACTTTCCATGATGAACCGCAGCACACCATAGCAGGCCCTTTGGGAGAGCAAGAGAGAGCATTTTGTATGATTACCAAAACCAGGACTGCTCAACCCCACCCCACATTAAAGGTAAAAGGGCGCAAAACCCCAATAATATACTAGTCTACACTATTTCCAAAGTTCCTTTACTGAAGTACAAATTTGATCAGAACCTGGCCCAAGGGGAAAAAGTTCTCATCTACACCTATCACATCTAATCTCAGGCTAACTCTTAGAAGTTCCGCCTAACCAAGTGCTTCTTAACCTTGGTTGTTCTTATAACCATTCCCAAAAGGCTAAAAGACTAGAACAAAGTCCCCAAAGCCTGGGCCCCACAGCAAGGTCAAGTACATTTGCAGCCTGGGGAGAGTGGTCAAGTTCTAGCTTGTTCTCGCTCTTACCTCCCAACTATAGTTGAAACCACATATTTAAAATACTCTCCAGGTAGTGCAACCAAAATCAATACCCACACCAATGAGCTCATAGTTATCAAGCTGACAACCACCAATTCTGGAGCAAGCCCTTATAGTCCCACCTTGGCCAACAGAACTGCCTATATAAAATTTGCCTCAGGATTTCTAAATCAAGCAACCAGTAGAACCAAGAAGTATCCCAGTCAGAGTCCCCCTTTATGGTTTACTAAAATATTCCTCAACTTATCAGCAGCGGGCCAGCCACCACTTTCAACAGGGAAGTTAAGGAGTTGAGACCTATCACAGGCATACCCATTCATGTTATCTAATTTCATCTAATCCTCACCCCCCGCCCCCCAAATCACATTTAGAGATAGGAGATGGAGATCCAGGGATCAGAACTTCAGTTAAGTTACTCAAGTCTCAGAAATTCTAAGTCAAACTTTGGTGCACAAAAAATTACCAGGAGTAATTAAGAAAGATGACCAGGCTACACCCCCATTTTCCAATTCAGTGGGTCTGGGGTGAAGACTGAGAACTTTCATTTCTAAAAAGTCCTAAAGATGATCAGTGTTGTTGGCCCAGGGACCAAACTTTTGAAAACCACCGACAGTGGTAGAACTATCCTTCAAACCCTGTGGGCAGCGTTTTCTATCACCATCTTCACAAATCAACACACCTACAGCAGTTCTTGGCGTCCTTTCTCTGCTGAAAAACCTTGCAGGGTTTGGCATTAGGTACCCCCTCATTTCCAGACACCTAAACAAGGCATACCAGATTTAAACTGCACCAAGAACCGCCTGCTATAAAATCTCATCAGTAGGCCCAACTCCAGGACCATGGCACCTCCTTTATAGTCCATCACTGCTGTTACTACCTATACACAACCAGATTTTAAGCTCTCCCCCACGAGGCCTAGGTCTTCTCGCTATATTCCCAATGGAGTTAACAGACAATGGAGCTGAATGACTTCAACAGGAATCTTAACCTCCCCTTCCTGAAGAAATTCTATTTTTGCTCTACCCCCAAAGCACTGGAACAGTTCACTACAGGACTGACTTTAAAAACGTGCTTCCTTTATCAGTCTATCTCGCCACTGCCAGGTCCGTGAGGACATAAATCAGAATTATCTTACTGCTGAAACCCACAGAGACTAACAGATGACCACGCAGAAAGTGCATTTGTTGAATTAACAAAATGGCAAACACATCACATCTTGATCCACAAAAAGGCACAAACATTAAGTCTCAGGACACTTACCTCCTCACAGCAAGGCCTCCAAGGAGTTTGTAGCGCAGAGACTCTGCTTGGGCAATGGCACACAGGCCTCGTGTGGCCACCTTTTCAGCATAAAGCTTTAAAAAGGAAAACAAGGTACATCTTTAAATTTGTTATCTTTGTTTCAACTAAAAAGCTGCATAAAAAAGCAGGTAGCACTTGTAACCCGGAAGTACCGAGGCACTTTTACTATCCACACCTAGCACATTCCGTCCACTCTTAAATCTCAGTTCTTCCTACAGCCACACCAAGGACGGAGCCAGACAATCCATCACGTATCACTGCTCTATCCAAGGTGAATAAACTAAGTCTTCTGGGGGACGGTAAAGATTTTTTAAAGTATTGCCTGAAAGAGCCACTGCCAAGTCCACAATAACCTGTAGCCCAAGGTGGGATCACTCACCTCTACACTGCCCTCAGGAAAGCCAAACCTCTTCTGAACCACAGCGGTCAATTCCCGAATGCGACGGCCTTTCTCACCAAGAACATTCTGTGTCCTGGAGAAAAAAAAAGACAATTCGTGGCTCTCACAATTTCAGGTGTAACTTTAATCCTGCACATACACAGTAGTAAAATTTCATTCTTCTGATACAAGTATAAATTATGAATGATACAAGCTAGAGTTAGAATTAAAGTTAAGGGGGGAATAAAACCCCTACATTTCCTAAAGCCAGATTCACTGTCCCCTTTAAGTTTCCAGAACAGTATACACAACATCTTAGTATATACAGTGATAGGTGGCAGTCAGGAAAATTAAGTTTTACCTGGTGGCTAAGATGATAATTTCTGTCCTGGTTGGTGTAACTCGGACTTCAACTCCCGAGTAGCCATCTTCAGCCAGCTCCCGAGTGAGGAACTCGTTCAGTTCAGCTTTGAAGATGCCGTCAGCGACAAACTAGCAGAAAGTAAAATTCAAAATGAGAACAAAGTGCAGGCTTACTTTTCCTGCCCTAGTTTTTCTGCTCAAGCAACCCTCATCAAAATCCACCACCACCAGTAAATGACATGTCTTCAGTCTATGATTCTTGGTTTTTCAACAGGCATGGAATAACCCTTCTCAGACAAATGCCTCTAAGTCATCTTTTGGAAGTTCTTTGATGCAGGGACCCTTAAAACTGTGCCACAGAACGCAGCACAGAGCAGGGCCACGCGAACAAAGGTGATACCTCCAGTCAGACTCGTCATCATCTCTTCACTGAAGGGTTGAGACCATCATAGATACGCATGCCGAACATAAAACTGCTCTACAGTGGGCACATTTGCAACTCATTCATTCAGCACAACAGGCACCACTACACTTGTAGTTGGGAAAACAGGTAGGGACTCAGTTAAGCAGCCTCGTTTGTGGACACACCGTCCTGTTAGCTTTCTTCTCTTGAGGTACCTATGTCTTACCCCTAACTAGAATCGACAAACCCTAACTCACAAGCGTGTGGATTTAATTTTAACATCGATGTACGTACACACAAAATGGCAAATTGCCTATTTCTAAAATAAATCGACTTTACAGCCCTCCCATTGGAAGATTTAAAGTTAAATGCCAGGAAGCGTTGTTCCCAGGCCCCAGCCCTATGCAAGCCCAGGCCTTTTCCCAGATGGGAGCAAATGGAGCAAAAGACAAAAACAACCCCCCCACCACCCCAAAACTCGGCAGCTTTTCCAGTAGCCGTCCTCGGGGATGGAGGGCTGCGCCCGGAGAGATCTAGAAGACCGAAGCCATGGCAGAACTACGGGGAATGGCTCACGCTGCCAAAATAACACGTTAACTAGTTCTACTTGTCCACCACGAAATGCTCACAGGCGCCTTCCTCCGGGAAGCAAGGGCGCTCGGGGCTCATCTCGGCGCTGTCCTCCCTTCCCCGCCACATTACGACTGCTCAGTTCGGGCCCCGCACTCAATCCACCGCCATCCCCGGCCTGTGGGAGTACCACTAAGTCCAGGCCACTCCCTGGGGCAGCGCACCGAACTGCGGGCCTCAGTACGGCACCTTGAGAAGCCACTGAAGCGAGAGGCGCTGCAGTCCCCCAGATGCAAGCCCCACGGTCTCACCTTCCTCTTCTTGGAAATCTGCACCGCCATCTTGCCGCCGAAAGGAAAGGAAGTAGCTCGTGGGCGGAAGTGGGTATAAAGGGCGCGGAGTGACGGCAAAGAACTGCGCGACGTCGGCACCTAAGGGCGCTCCTGGGAAATGTAGTTTTTATGTTAGGAAGGCCTTGGGGAAGGGATGCGTGAAGACCCTCCTATGGGGGCAAACGGGAGATGACCTTCGGAAACTCAGGAGAGTTTAGACTCCAATTTCATTCGTTAAAAAGTGAGAAGTGTGAGGCGCTGAGATGGAAATAACACGTGTAAGTTCTCAGAACAGAGTGGAAGCCTGGCCCCTATACTCTGTGAAAGAGGAAGAAAGCCCCTCAATGAAATTCATGTAGTTGCTCTTCCAATCTATATCCAATTCCTCCTTTTGGAATAGTAGCTAGTATTTAGTAAATATTCTAGGGCATAGAATAGTCTATGCTCTTTATATTATTAACACACACTCATCAAAAAACCCCCATCAAGTCGACAAATTAAAAAAATAAATAAAAAATATATATTATTAACTCACTAATCTCTAGCTCACTTTCATAAAGTCTATTACAACTTGTAACAGAAGTTACAGAGTTGTGGCTGGTGCATTTATAATTCTTTTTCAATTAAAAATTTCCTCTCGCATTTTCTTATGCATCACCTAGGTCCAAGAATGAACACTTGTTCTCTATTTCCTGTAACACATCTCTATCCACGCTTCCATCTACCTACCAGTGGGTCTTTTTATGCATTTCAAATTTTCAGACTTCAGTACTCTTCACCCCTAAACATCCCTATTTTAAGTGTGAACCATTTGCCTGCGTTTAAAAATCATGAAACTTTTCTCCCATCCAAGTACTAACCAGGCCCGACCCTGCTTAGCTTCCGAGATCAGACGAGATCGGGCGCGTTCAGGGTGGTATGGCCGTAGACTCATGAAACTTTTCTGTAAACCTGTTAGGCATTTCTTAAAAATATAGAAAGATCTAGCAAAATAGACACAGACTCTCATGACTCGTATTCCTTTCCTGTTTGATGGAAAAAGGCTTTGCAATGGCACCACAGTGCTTGGCAGTTTCACTCATGTGTTATGTGGTCCTGGAAACCATTTGAGCTTTTAACCTTGGCAGGGAAACAACTCTGACACAAAGGTCTGTCCTGTAATCATAGCATTAACGGTGCCCTGTGGGAACCAAGCCCTTGAACCAGGGAGGATGAGAAGTCAACAAACTAAAGCACTAGATAGGTCATGAACCTGATGGATCTTGATGATGGATTGAAGTTCAGGGGGGAATTGAGAATGATGCTCTGCTTTATGACGCCAGTGGCGGGTGCTTGGTGACAACCCTCACTGAGGTGACAGCCCAGAAATAGATATTTTTTTTCTCTGTGTGTCATCTCCCTTTGCTCTTCACTTCCTTCCTCATCTAGCTCCATGATAGGGTAATTCAATGGCTTCTAAAATCTCCATCTGGTGAATCCACCTACTTGATTTCTCTACATCCTCGCTCAGGATGTAGGCACCAGGGGAGAGCACCCAACATTTCATACTGTGGTCAGAATATTTCTCATTCAATACTCTTCATTCCCCCACAGTGCCTATTATAATCTTTGTCAAATGTGGGACCCCAGAATCTCATTCCTACTCAGCACTCAACCTCCCTCCTAACCCCTTGCACCCCAAACTAATTGTACATGCAAGCACTGTGCCTCACCTATTCTATGTCCTTGTCTTTGGCCATCCTTCCTTCCCCACCCCACCCTCCTGCTCAAAAAAAGACACCTCCTTCTTGCCAAGGTCAAACTCCCCTGTGTGTTCTAGTTCCAGCTTAGTTCCTTTCCTCTGAGACTTTGGCCCAGCAATCATGAATTCCCTTTCCTGAGATAGTCTTCCTTCACTAGCTTTCCAGTCCCTCGAGGACTGTGCCTCTCTCAGTAGCTCCCATAACTATAACACTCACTTCACTGTGTTGCAATCACCTGTTTGTGTTTTTCCCATTGGATCAAAGCTCCATAAGAGCTCACTCCAGGCCTTTTCTGTTCATTATATGCAGACCTTAGGACACCACCTGGCTCAGGTCTAGTGTGAATAAGTTTGATAAGCAAACAAATCAATGCACAGATTCTGATTTTAAGATCAGTTCTTGGGTAGCATGGTTCAAATGAATTTGCTTGCAAGTGCCATATGTTGCCTGGGATATTCATAAATGTTCTAGAGACTCAAAGCAGATGCTGAGACCATGGCAGGTGTCTGACTCCTTGTCAGCTCATCTGCTCCCCTTCCCCAGTGGCCAGGAGGCTGCCTGCCTGGATATTGTCCTCTGGTCCTAGCAGAAAGCCTGTAAAGGAAATCATCTCTATCATGATGCCCTTTGTTTTATTGAAGGCCATTTTAAGAAGATATTATTTTACTCAAAGTAATGCTATAAAAATAGCAGTCATGATAATTCTGATTAAGAGTAGGGGCTATGAGAGTGATGCAATCTCTTCCTGCTCTCCCTGTGCATCCAAACTTTGAGCAAGGTTTAAATTCATGGTAAAGCTGAAATGTCACAGGAACTGTGATGAGAGGGCTTTGTGAGAACACGTATAGCTTTGTGGTCACACTCGGGGGTCATGCCCTACGAGAGCCATCAGCTTGTCCTGTGATCTTTGCCCTGGAGAATGAAGATAGCTCACATATTTGGAGAACAGTTGAGTCACTTAAAGGTCAGTGCTGAGAAATTACACAGAAAACATTTACCATATTTGGATCCAGTTGGAGCTTGGCACAAAGGAAGAACTGAAATAAGTGTGAGCAGGGATGGGCGTGCTGGCCTCCCTGCTCGTGAGCATGTGTGCAGCTCAGTAAAGTGGGAATATGGGGCCCTCTGCTTTCCTAGTCAGGTGAGGACTTGTTTCCCCCAGGGTCTCCCTTCAGGGTCTGTCTGGTCTCAAGCAACTGGCTGATCTCCATGCTCCAAGAATTCTGCCTTTTCCTATAAGACTTACATAACTAACGACTTTATTAATGTTCAATCAAAGAACCAGGGGTCTGTGCTAGTCCTGGAGGGGAAACTGGATTCACCAAGAGGGGGTGCATTGGTCTCCACTTGGGCATTTCTTTTTTTTTTTTTTAAGATTTATTTATGCATACAAGAACTGGGGTGTAGGGAGTGAGAGGATTCACCAGAGACAGAGTGGGGAGCAGAACAGGCGGATCCACTGAAATACACTGCAGAGGGGAGCAGTGGGCAAGACGGGAGAGGTTTGCTGTGCCATGTGGGTCCTCTCCCTGGCCAGGGATCGAACTCGTGCTGCAGTGGCTGGCAATAGCTTGACAGCGCTGAGACTAACCCCTGTGCCACCAGAGAAGCCCCATTTGGGCCTTTCTTGAGAGATTGTTGTTCTAGGGTAATATCAACCATATTTTGTCATTTGCATTAGACTCTAATGCTCCCAGTGAGAGACAGTGATGTCATCTTGTTCTCATTGATTTGATAAAAATTGATGAACGACTCACTCAGAGCCTGGAATTGGGTGCTTGGATGTGAATAGGAGGATACTGCAGAATAAATTTGGAAAGAATTTGTTTTTTACTACTTTTTACTACTTTTGTGTCGTTGCCAAAAGACTCACACTTCTGATACTGTTGTAGAGCAACCCCGATACAAAACGGGGTGCCTGACTGTGGGTCCTCACCCGCGCGCTTAAAAGGACTTATCAATGCTCTACTGCAGGCACACGCGAAAGGTTAATAAAAGCTTTATTTACAAGGGAAGGGGAAATGAGGAAATGTACAGCTCAGGGAGAAAAGTGGGAGACAAAGTTTTAAATGAGTCCTACCCGATCCGCCGATCAGGAATCCCAAAATGGCGCTCTGAGAGCTGGCCGCCAGCCAGGAGCCGTGAAGCCAGGAGGCGAGCGACCGCGAGCCCCCCAAGGCCCACGTGTTTGTTTTTTATACCCAACCTGGCTGCCCAACTCCACCCTCAGGTCCCAGCCACCTTCCCTTTGGTGATGATGGGATTTGTCTTTCCCAAGGTCTTGATGGCTTTAGTCTGGAGTGGGGGTGGGGTCCACAATGCCTGTATGGGATTAGCTCAGGACATCCTTTCCCCCTAACAATTCCCCTGCTTACAATAGGCATAGCT